TTAACCCTTTTCTTAGAAAAGGTTTGATTAATAGCAGTAGCAGGCAGAAAATGATGCAAATTCTCCCTAAATGCCTTGCTGCAAAGCAGGAACATCACACACTGGCCTTCAGTGGAAGGGAAGCCAGGAAGAGAGGCAAAGCAGCTCTTTTTTAGACCTATTCTTTGTAATTTTCTCCTTTTCTTCTGCTATGTTACTTGCCCAGCAGTGTGGATCTAAACAAAGTATCAGTACATCCCATCACAGTACAGCAGCCATGTCTTTGACCCATTAATTTTTAAGTGCTCATGCTTTCTTTTTGATATCTGCTCCAATGCTATATTTAAAAAAAAAAAAAAAAAAAAAAAAAAGCTTCATTAAAGCAAGAGGCATTTGATCCAGTCAGCCTGGACCTGTGTGCCTCTGTATAAATGAACACAAGGGGAGCTAATGGGGGAGTTCAGGGGACTTAACTGTACCGGTGATAATTGAAACAAACAGACCTCCGTGGCCTGAACTAATTCAGCAGAGCTATATTCCTCTTCCTTTTCTATTATACATTCAGTAGTTTAGCACTCCCCAGCTCCCCACTGGCATTAAGAGACACTTACAGCTGTTCTCGTCTCCCTAATAACAGCACTCTGTAGAGTTAATGGTGGCCTCTGAGGGCTGATGAAGTGATGTGGGGCTCTGCCGACACCAGCCCGAGGACTTGCCATATGCCTGGGGAATTTCACCTCTGTTTAGACTCAATTCAGCCAAAACTCCCAAGGTGAAATTCCATTTAGGTCGGTGCATTTCTGCTCTAACAATTACAGTTATGTGTTGAGCGCTGTCTTTTATCTCTGCTGGCCTGGTGTCTGTTGTATGAAGCCAGATAGACGCTGCCTTCACCCCTGCCGCGGTGGTCCGGATTGCAGATGGAGAAAGAAAATTGAGATTTCAATGGGGAAAGCTTTGCTTCCAACAGAAGTAAATAAAGAAACACGAGAAACGTTGACAGCTTTTTATGCTGACTTTCTCTGCTGCTTTGCTTAGAGAGCAACAGGGAAAGGAGTAAAGTAGTTGTCCTTTCTGCCTGATGCACTCTTACCCATCCAAGAAATCTTATTCAGGATTTCTACCAATTTCATAGCAACGGTGCCAGAAAACAGATTTGTGTTGGTCATTACTAAGCATGAGCAATGATGCCCAAATGAATAAAAAAGTATCTATGGGAGGTAAGTGGCCGGTGGCTTCTGTGATAACACATATGCCTATCTCTACAACCATGAATGGGTGGTAACAGCCCACTGTGCTCCATGATCTAGAGGCAGCCCATGGTGCTGCCTTGGGATATGGGTCTGCCTCCTCCATCCCACATCCATCCCTGTTTGTCTCATCAGCCAGGGAACATCAGGATCTGTGAGATTTATCGCTGCCCCTCTTAGAGTATCTTAGATGGAACCCCTAGCACTGCACCACTGCAGTATTCTGCAGTGCCCCAGAGGTTCCTTCAGGTATGTGCTATTGTCAAGCTTTCCTTCAGAGCCACAGGAATACAGAAACTGCATATATTCATTTTCTTGCACTCTTATTTTGCTATTTGCTACACGCTTTTCAGAACAAGGAAGTTCAGATCTGAATACAATTTCAGAAATCCGTTATCCCTAGTTAACTGTAATCCTAATGAAGCTTTGGATATTGTAAATTGTTCTAAGCCCGAACAAATGTAGTCTACAAGTGTTTTGTTCTTAAAAATATGAACTCTTGACGTACTTGTTTATGGATGCTGCTGCATTGGCCATGCTGGCTGGAGAGCTGAGTGGGATCAGGGCATGGGTGGGTCTGCAGACATCGACCAGGCTTTAGGCCTGCTAGGGGTGTGGGCCTGGATGTTCTATGGGGACATGGGGTCTGTCACTACAGTGTACATGGGTCCAACCTGACAGTTACAAACATGAGCCCATTTCAGCTCCTTTCGTATCTAATGTCGTATTCAGCCACTGTGAGCATGGAAATGCATCTCTGACCTTTTGAGATTGTAGCTTCTATCAGTCATGTCTCTTACTAATTGCTGCCGCAGTTCACGGCCCTGGATGGAAGGAAGAGCGTTACAAAACTGCCCTCTCCAAATATAAATTATTTTAATTACAGTCAACATGCTCTTCATGTGAAACATGGTGAATTAAGCTTCCAGCTGGCTTTTTTAGCAGCATCTATAAAATGCACAAGCATATCCCAGCTCTGCAAAAGATGGGCATGCTTGTGTCTGGGCTCACTGAAATACCACTTTGTAGGCTCTGGAGCTCATGTGTGTACTCCTGCTGCATATGCTTCTGTGAGGCTGTCATTTCACAGGACATTTTTTCAGATGCAATTAGGAAAACCTGCTAAAAAATGTGATCAAATCTGTTGCTCTGTTTTATTATCAAATATTATTTTCTGTTGAGGTGCTGCAGACAAATAATGAACCTTCCTGCGTGTTAATCCTATGTTTAACTTCATACCACAAACCCCTTCTTTTTGAAATAATGACTTTCTTCTGCAGTCAGGTTCATCAGGAAAGGTGCTGGTTCTAAAACCTAAAGCAGCTGCCGAAGTCCTGGCTTGAGTTGATTCCTATTAAGCAAAACCCTTAAGCGTGTGTCTCTACTGAAAGCTTAAGATCTACTTTGGTCTTCACTGAATAGAGACTGATTTAAAATTGTGCTTACATACCTTGTGTAAAGAAACGTGCAGCTGGGGTTTCTCTTCTTTTACATGGCTATGAATCAGGCCTAAATTCACTGAGACCAGTGCTACGTGTGGGAGGAGAAGCAGGTTCCCACTGCATTAGAAAATAGCTGTGAATATTTCAATTGTCTTAAAAACTAAGCCATATTTTTAGGAAACGAAAGCTATCAATCATAGCTCTGCTTTAAAAATCGACCCTTCACCTGCCAGAACGTGTCCCTTTAGCTGTTCCATTAGCTCATGTCTCCTTTCTAAAAAAGATGTATTTGAATGTTCATGCAATCAAGCTATCATGTTGGCTGAGCATCCTTCAGGGCTCTCTAATATACAGTAATATGGCTATCACTTTGTGCCTAATGTTTCATAAAAATGCCATATATAATGCTACCTTCTTGGCTTCCTATCTTCTTTAATGAAAGGTTGCAGGAGTTTCCTTTACAAATGGTTACTCTACCAATCATAAAAAAAGAAAAAAAAAGAAAAGAAAAGAAAAGAAATGGAAGAAAGAGAAAGAAAAAATGAATAAGAGCGAGGATGCTATTGTAAAATGCTCTGTAATTGTGGTAGTGGAGGGAAGTGGGCTTCCTATTCCCTATAGCACAAAAGCAGAATCATAATGAACGATCAGAAGCAGCACATCATCACATCTCATTCCTGCAATTATGTCTTACATTGGTGTTTATGTTCAGCATTTCTTACACCTCCCATGTAAGTGCATATGAGATATTGGGATTCAGACTGTCTAAATAGACACATCAAGCCTTTGATGTTAGTGATGTTCCTCCCCATATTAATTTATATAACAGAAAGATGTGGGATTGCAGAAATTGATACCAACAGCTTCCTGAGTAGCAGGCGAGGGTGGTGTTTGTGCCTCCTGTTACCTGACTGCTCAGTAACGTTGTCCTGTGTATTCAAAAAGAATTTGTCATGAGCAATTCCTCCCCTGTGCTATGCTTCCTGCACTTCCCAGGGACAAACTGAACTCCACATTCTGAAAAACAGGTTCGTGGGAAACTCATTTTTTTTTCCCCACCAATCGTTTCCAATCCGCGCCTCCCTTTTTAGAGGCTTGCAAAGGCTATGTAGTCATTTGTACTCCAACTTTTCCTAGTCAAGTATTATAGGTGCCTGACTTTGCCCATCTCTAATAAGCAGGCAGACATCTGAAAGGCTGCTCACCGCTTCTGTGGGTTCATTGACATTTTGAAAATGTGTTTCTTTTTATCATCTCTAAAATGTCTTCCCCTACAAACATCATACTTAGGATGATTTATCAGCCTTTCTGGAGATTTCTGTCTTCTAATGCTCACTGGGGAGTTTTCTAGAGGATTGCAAGGGTGTAAAAAATTTCCAGTCGAATGCATACATATACGTATACATCTATACACGTGTAAGTACAGGTGCCTACATATTAATACCTATGTGTATCTATGTATGTTCAGCTGCACTTAGCTAACAGCAAAATGGATTAATCTAGATTTACGAAGAAAATGAATACAAAATGGGTATGGGGCAAGAAAAGAACTTCTCCTCAACGAAGAGGAACTGATTTGAAAATAGAGCGTATAGGGAACAACCTGGTTTTCAAAATCTCACTCTCCACGTGACTACAGCACTGATTGTTTCAGTGCTCTGTTTTTTGTCCTAGTTCACACACAGAGCACCAGGTACCCATCAGAAGCACCCCCCGGCAGCTTCTCCTGCTGAAGAGGGGCTTTGGCTCTCCATCAATGGAGCACTGGTTTGAAATCCCATTATATCCCACAGAAAAAGGGCAAATACAGTTCACCCTTCAAGCCAAGGATACTGCTACTGAAAATTCAGATGTGGATCTATCAGTGTCGGAAATTTAAAAAACATTGACTTCCATATGTCAGTCCAGATTTCTCCCTCGCTTCCCAGATGGAGGTGCAGATGCTGTGCTGTGTTTGTAGAGTCAGCCCATGAATCCAAGAAAGGCATGTTCTGGGGCTGTAGATACCCACATGGAAGTACCTGTTTGTTGTCAGAGGATGCTCATGTGCCCTACCCATTTCTCCAGGATGGTCAAGAGCAACTATTCTGCCTGGGTTATTGATGGCCTCAAAAAGCCAGACAAGTGGCTTTCTGCTCAGAAAGGATGTCAACTGCCTGTGAAAAGTGAGCAAAGGAGAGAATGTGGGAACTGTTGAGTCACAACCTAAACTACTGATTGAGCACCTGGGAAAGGACCTGGTCAGCCTTGGGAGCACAGGTGAAGGTGCCTGGCTGCACCTCTCTTAGACCTCATTTAAGGGCTGACTGCTGCTGGGGAAGGATCTCTTCCTGGAGATCCTTTCTTGCTGAAGCTTTCCCCTGTGAACCAAGAATCTTCTGATATGGGTGAGCAAACTTCTTCCCTTCCTTTACAGCACCTTTTTATCATGCTGGTCTTTCCATGTCACACCTCTGTTGTAATGCCTTTCCTATCGTATTAATCTGTCCAATTACTACAGTGGCCCATGAGGTCAAGAGCAGAGATTTTAGTGAGTTTCTAGTGCATCTACCTTTGACATCAGAGAAAGGTCCAGATTTAATAGTTCTCTGTGATAATATATACTGCTGGGGTGCCATGAAGAGGCAGAGTATGAAGGTGCAGTTCTGCCTTCCCTACACCTCTCCTGGACTATAGTGGTAATCCTCCACATCCCTACTTGCTTCTATCAACACTTGCTTTCTTCAGCCTTAATAGGATTTTCAGAGACTTGAAGCTGTCTGGCAGCCTCCCTCTTGAATCCTTTTGGAGATAATCAGACTGATGTGTTAATCACATTTATGCTGTATTTAAAAATAGTGGGATAAAGCCTGAAAAGTGCTGAGCAGCACTCTTCACCTGCAGCTTGTTTACAAGCAAAGCAGAAAGAAAGGTGGCAGACAGCATAGCAAACAAGGGTGTCCAGATGCCTTGCATATGGATTAGAGAATAACCCAGACCCTGATTATTTGCTGGATTGAGGTTCCTTTGCTATGATTGAGGACGAGGAATGGAGAATTGCTGCCTCAGCTTGATCCCACCCGAGGATAACCACCCTGAGCTGATCCTTCCTTGGCCCCTTGAGCAGCCTGTGATCTGTGGGATTTATGCTACGCATGATTAGGTGTGAAATGGAGAGGAAGTTTATTGCAGAATGCTTGGCATGGGCTTGGGGAGTAAATTCATAAAGATGACATGTACATTGTCAAGTTGGGTGTTCTTAATTTATAGAAGCCCCAAAATCCATTACTCAGTTCCACCTCATGCAATTCTCCCTGCCAAATCCTTGTGTATTTATAAGAATAAAAAGGAGGAATTGGTTGAAGATAAAGGAGCCACTTTACACACATGTATATACTCATACTAAATGCTCAGTTTTCGAGGTTTGATAGTCCCTCTATAAGGAGAGCTCATATAATAGCAGCAAACCAATGTAGAGACGTATAAAATGATTAAATTCTCCATTTTCTTCATTCAAAAGTTCTCTTGCATGTAATATAAACCACTCTCTTTAGTCTGCTAATTGAGTGCAAGAGTAGAATGAAAAAGGGCAATGCATTTAAAAATTTCCTAGAGCCCACTAGAGCACATCGCATCCTGAAATGATCACCTTTGGTCTCAGGGAGTACTGGCTTGCAAAGTGAGTAAATTTGTTACTCTGACTTCCAGGTGCTTTTTAAACTGCAAGGGGAATGCATAGGCTGCAGTTCCCCTTCTGCTGTCCTGGTCCCAGGCAGGCAAAAAGAAAGGAGAGGATCAGTTGTCCTCTGTGCTGTAGCGAGCTGGAGATGATGCTGGGACATGCAACATCTCAACTGCCCTGAGCCTCACTGCAGCAATGGCTCCAGTCAGAGCAGCCTCACACACATTAGTTGCCCTTGGTGAAAAGGCACTGTCCATGTTAGTTTTGGATGTCACTGTTAATGAGTGTGATTATTCTCCGGCTCACACGTCTCTTCCCATTAGCTGTGGTGTGCAGCTGCTGACACCCTGAACATGTTCTCTTTCTGCTTTGCATCGTGCAGCCTGCTGCATAAATGGCAATGCAAATGTTTCCTTGATAATTTTGTCACACCAAATCTGATCAAATTTATTCTGTCTCATGCACACGCACATAGACTCAGAGACGTTTGCCCCAAGGCAATAAAGCCAAGCTCTGCTTTCCTAGTTGAAGAAGCACAGCAGGAAGCTGTCCAGGCGCTAGCTGGCCTGGTTCACTCCAACCTGTGGGCTGTGCAATACAAAGGGAAGACATGGTGGCAGTGCTCTTGCAATAAAGCATTGTTTTGTTGTGCCCAGAGGCCCAGCCTCAGCGATAGCCTTGCACAAATTGCCTAGTGCCTGGATTTGATAAACCCTCCCTATAGGTTTATTTACTGAAGGCTCAATTAATCTATTTTCCGTGTGCTTTTAGATGCTCAAATAGTGTCAAGATGACAGGAAGAAGAGCTGTTTCTTAGTTACAGGGCATCAGCAGCCATTTCTAAACCTTGAGCTTCCAAACTCCAGCTCTTGCCTTAGCACACGTGGCAGCTCCTGGATGGCATCAGTTCCCAGGCTGAGCAAGGCTGGACTTGGTGTGACTTCTCAATGAAGAGATTCCTCAGAGGCTTCTTTGAAGCCCAGAGCTGTTCCAGACCCTGAGAGATGAAAGCATCTGAGCTGGGTTTGGGAAGGAGCTATCAGAATCTGAGCTCAGCTGCCAGTTTCTCCTCCTGACATCAAAGCCCATCTATTCTCATTTGCCACTGCCTCCATATTTCAAAGGGCGCCTAATTCCACTTTCTCTCTCCTCCTGAGACCTGCAGTTTGCTGCTTTCTTTTTTGATGGTTCTATTTTGTATATTCTGCTGGGGAAACAGGTGAAAGCCAGGTGTGCCTGGAGACTGCTGGCAATGTCCAGCTTCATTCAGCCATTGCTCCCCACGTGGAAAGGTCTGAACTGAAATCAGAAGAAACCAAACATCATACAGGAAAGCAGAAAAAAAAAAAAAAATCAGTTTGGCTTCCTATGATATGGGGAACTAAATCCATCTCTTTTTTTGATATGCAGAAACAAAAGAAGGGAAAAAAGCATTCCCTGCTTGGAAGTGATTTTGTTTGCTGTTGGGTTGCATCTTTTTTTTGATAGAAGATTTAAGATTGGAATTTCTCTGCAGTGTGAGACTGAGCTCCGGGACTCTTTGAAAGCCCAGCAGCTGGAGCTGATATGAACAAGGGTTTAGATGAGGGCTCACCCTATGCTGTTGTGTTCAATCCAGCGTGGCAGCAATAATGCTGGAGATAAGCATTGCCCTCCACTCTGCAGCTCATGCACGAGCAAAACAGAGCATTAACAGCTGCTCGGTGTGTTGCATCTCCATTTCCAAAGCATTTTACGTAAAAAATTAAACATTAGCAGCTGTTTGCGAGTGAATATGTAGCAATTCCTCATTTGGCAGAATAGCCCTGAAGGACTAGTAAAACTTTTATCTATTCCACTTGGTGACATTATTGGGCTGACACAGATCTGAAGAAGGGCAAGGAAAAGAACATTATAATTAGAGGCTTATTGATTGCCTTAAAGAAAAAAATTAAATAAAAAGGTTTTATGTGGTGGAAATGTAGTTGTCTTGTTAGGTATTAGATGGGTCACTGGCACAGCTTGGGTGTCCCAAGACTGTGGAGCTGTGGTGCTGCGTTGAGGCTGCAGGAAAGCATCCCAGGAACAAAATACAGAGTTCCTTCAGCTGTGAGAAAGCTTCAGTGATCTGATAGCTGCAGCAAGCACCCTGTGCCCTGGGGACACAGAGGATTGTGGAGCTGTGAGGTTCTGGGGCATGAGACAGGAGTGACCCTTCCTCAGCTCGGCACTTTGGCCAGAGCTGTGGATGCTATGTGATGTGGGGCAGGAGCACAGGCAAACTGCATATCCACATTTCAGCCTGCCCTGACCTGAGGGTAGAAAGCTCCTTTATGCCTCTCAGAAAGGTTTCTTAGGTTTTAGCAGATCCTGGGCAAAATTGCTGTCTTGGTGATGTGCTGGTCATGTTTTTGTTCCCCCCCCCCCCCAAATTGTATCCATGGGGCAACTGGAACATTTCCAGCCTTTTTTTAATCTCCTGAGCCCATTTACCCCCCATAGGAAACAATGTGGTGGTTTGCAGAGGTCCCAGACTCTCTGTGGGTGAGGGTCCTGCTGCAGGGCTGGAGGTGGCCTTCAAGGGCCATCAATGTCCATTGCCATGACTCCAAGAAGCTGCACAGCTCGCTGCTGCAATTATCAGGGGGTCCTGGGGCAGCCCTTGAGTTGGATTTGCCAAATCTCTGTGTCACTTGCTCTATGAATGCATCTTGCTTTTCTTCTCTCTAGCAAACATGTAGATAAATGCCTCTGCCCTCTCCTGTATCTTTGTCTTGTTCTGCTTCCTTCTTGTCTACTCTTGGGAAGTGATCCAGGTGGTCTCACTCTCTGAGTACGGAGAGCTGATCCCCTCCTCTAGGTAAGGACCTGGGTTAAATTAAATACTGCCTTCCCACCTCTGTTAGTGACCTGAAGCCAGGGGGATCTCCTAGATGCTTCACTCAGCTGTTTTCCAAATGATGTGCAGCTCTGCCCTTAGAGGGTGGCTTTCTGTTCTGGAGCTTCAAAGAGGCAGTTTAATGCTTCAGCTCTGTTCTACCTGAATTCCTCCTCATCCCCAGAGTATTTTAAGCACAGGCAAACTGATAATTCTCTGTCAGATCTATGTCTTTATAGTGACAGGCATCCAGCTGATGTAAATCGCATTCCATTGAAGTCAAAATTAGGAGCTTGCCAAGTGTTGCATAAGATCATGTTAGGCCATTTATTTTTATTAATTATTTTCAGTGGCAAATCATACAAAAATTCCCCTGCTGTGTGAGTTGTCCTTCATGATGCTCACATTTTTCTGTTCTGTGCCTTCTTTTATATGAAAAACGCACAAAGTTTTGCTGCTCTTATCACCGTGGAGTTTTTGATATGGTCCATGCATTTCTGCACTAATGGGAATCCTCAGAATGCTGTGGGGTTCTGTGAGCTATCCCAGCATACTTCTATTGGGCTCTGGCTTCTTGACATACCCCAGTTGGGTCTTTGGGATGGCAGAGCTTAGGGCAGTGTGTGCCTGGGTTTGACTGGCTCAGTTGCAAGGAGTGGGAAGGAGAAGCCCAACCTGACCCTGCCAAGCTCCTGCCCTTGTTGGGGGAGCATGGGGTCACATCAGGACAGGCTCTAACAGTGAGGGCATGCGGAGTGAATGGAAAAAATGAGGTTGTGGCAAGATCAAAAGATCGCTGCATCAAAGGGTAATAATTGCTAGAACAGGAGAGATTTGAAATATCTGATGGCTCTTTTATGAGATTACCAGTTATCAGAATGGGGGGGAAAAAAATCTGAATTAAAAAAAACTGTGTGCAGAAAATGAAGGAAAGGAAGAGAAACGGCATTGTGGCTCCTGTTCTCAAAAACAGAATGTAGTGTTTGTGTGGAGACAAAGCCAGCTCTGACACTGTAATGCAGCCACCAGAATCCAGGCTGGCAGAAATTTTGTGATTTGTGCATGGCTGATGGCGGGATTGCTCACTTAATGCGTGTGTTTCTATGAGGAGGTGATGCTGGCATCAAACCCAGTGTCATCCTGATCCATCCGAGTGCTCCTGGCCATGTGAGCAGGTGGAGTTCTGCAGCCACTACAGCCAAAAAGAAGACTTAGAATAATATAATAATAGAATCACCAAGGTTGGAAAAGGCCTCCAGGATGATCCAGTCCAACCATCCACCAATCACCAATATTTCCCATTAAACCATGTCCCTCAGTACAACATCAACGCGTTGCTTGAACACAAACTCATAGGTTTGGTGTTGGTTCCTGGATGACTGTAGCCTACATTCTCTTGGAGGCTCCTTCACTCCCCAACAAGGGCCCTTAGGGTTGTTCTGAGCAAGGTGAGTGCTGTTGTGGCTGTTTTGTGCCTCGTTTGGTTGGGCACAAATAGATTTCCCTCTCAGGTTAAGGGGGAGAGCTCACATAGTGAAAATTTCAGTCCTTACTTTGCTGTTGTTTCAGCTGTTCCACTGCAACATCAAGCACGGCACTTGAACTTGTGTAACTGAGGGGATGGAGTGAGCACATAATTGCCAAATTTACAAAAATGGGAGAAATATAAAGGGAGAATGGAGAAATATTAAATGATCTCATTCTCCTGAGCCTTAATGGAAATGAATAGAAGCTGCTAGACAGCTCAGGAAGGCAATTATAGGGAAATAATCTGTGGTGTTTAGCGGAGCAGTGATGTGGGGCATGCTGAACATGATGGATCTGGCTGCTATTTCCAGTTAATAATAAAGCACTTTAAGAAAAGGCGATGATGCACATGTTTGTGCTTTTGTGTTTATGAAGTAGAGGAACCAGCCAATTTATTTATCTATTTATTTATTTTCCTGTCCTGGGAATTGCCTTGTACCCTGTGACTGAAGTGGCTATAGCAGCATGCTGCTCCCCTTAAGGCAAAGCCTCTGCAGGATGCTGTTTGCTTTTGTGAAGATGTTGGCCTTCTTTCCACCGGCCCAGCTGCTGGAAAATTGTGGCTTAGGGAGCTGTTATGCTCTTTGAGAGCTGGTGAGTGCCCTGCGTGATAGCCATTGTTGGCTGAAATCTCTGATATAGGTCAGAAGTAGTTAACAATAAAAAGTGTCTGTGCCTGGAAAAAGAAAAGAAGTACTTATTAATAAAAATCAAGCAGGGAAAGGCTTTTCCTTTTCTTAAACCTTAGGTCTTCCTTTCTGTTGCAAGGCTGTAAAGACGGCTGGATAATCTGTGACAAAAGAGCCTCTTAAAATTGACCTGAACTGTTACAGAGGTTTGAATAGTTTGTTTGGGTTTTCCTGCACTTGTCTCGCTTGGAAGCAAAGCACCCATGGCCATAAGCAGCACTGCCTGGTGCAGGAGGTGAAGGTGTGGATGGAAAGGAGGTGTCCATGTCCTGCAGAGAACCCTGCCTCGCTGTCCCTGTGCAGCTATGGGTGAGCCATGGGGCTGGTTCTCAGCACCAGGGTTGCTTTGCCTCTCTCTGGCAATAACAGCAACCCTCAAACTGACTTCAGGTGACGATGAGGTACAAATGAGCCTTGAGGGAAATGTAATTGGACCTAATGAGACTGTATGTGCTGTTCCTGTTGATACAAACAAGTTTCTCTCTTCCTACTTTCTACTGTAGATCCTAAATCCAATCCCACCATGCACTGACAACCTTCCAAGTGCAGCCACTGAGCATCACTGAATTATTACATGTTTTGTCTGTGGGATCTGTCAAGCTGATTCAGATTCCCAAATCCTCAGTCTGATTTCTAGACCAAATACCCTAGGATAAGCCCAGAGAAAAGTACTAAGGACAAACACATTCAAATATTTATCTGGAATGAAACGAATGAAATTCCTAACTCTTGAGATTTACTTGTTGCTAATGATTTGCTAGTAAGTCAGTCTGATGCAGGCTGACAAAAATAACATTTGCCAACACGAGGGACCTATGTTTGCATCTTGTGCTGATTACTTTATGAAGTATCTTCTATACCAGTAGGCATCTAGAAATCAGGTGAGTAGGGAGAGAACCAAAATATGATGCTTGGGAGCATTTCCACAAAATGCTTTGTGGAAGAGTAACAGAATCCATTAACTTATAGTTCAAAGATTTATTCGTGAGTAATGTTTCATAAACTCTCCATCTCACTCTAGAGCTGGGATGTGCTTCGTTATTTCTGAGAAAAGAAAAAAGGAGATGGATTTCTTCCTATTTTTCTATACAGGTGTATATAAAACTGGTTCAGTGCTGGTTAAATATTGCAGCCATAGATTTATGCCCTCTAGTTATCTACACACTGTATTGAAAGCTTTTTCTGTCTATCTGTATGTCCCAATTCCAACTTTGCAGGTCAGCAAAAAAAGTCTGTTGATTCAACACGTAGTCAGCTGCTCTCATTTTCACACCAAAGGTACCAAACTTATGTGAAAGATCTTAAGTGTTAAGACCCATGCCTACTGGAAATGGCACCTTTTGCTTGTGGGAACTTCTCTGCTCCACAGACTGGTCCAATTTGTATTTATAAAAAGATACATTAATTGCTCTAAGCTGGACTCCAATAGACTTTGATTTCCTCAAGTCTGTTCAAGGATCCTTACAAAGGGAGAAAAAATGGCATAAATTCCAGAAATTATGACAGTTCTAAGGAGTAAAACTGAAAATCTAAGCTGAAAACTAGGGGTGAGACTTATGTGCAAAACAGGCTTCAGCTCAGAGTGCATCTTTGGTGAGGAGAAAGAAACTAGAAGGGAATTTTCAGTCTGTCAGCAGTTTTCTTTTTTGACATTTCAGAGCATTACTTTGCAATCTCTTTGTGTTAAAACATCAACTTTTGAAAATTAACCTTCACTGTAAATATTGTTAAAGCAAAATGATCCAAGAATGAAATGAAAATACATTAAAAAAGAAAGTGTCTGGCAAGAAAGTTCTTTTAAAATTTTATTTCATCAAATACAACCCACTGTAAAATCCATGCACGTTTTATGTACTCCTTTTTTAAAACAACAACTGTCTTTACAGTAAACTGCGAAGTATGTTGTGCACCCAGCACAAATTCAAATTGAAAAGACAAAGTGACATTTAGTTGATTCTTTAATGCCTCTGTTTTTCTTCTGGTTTGCAAGTTAAGATAATTCATCATTCAGTTGGATATGCCTCTGCGAAAATGTATTTCATTCTCAAAGGGTGGGGAAAAGGCTAAAATAGCTGAGTCCTAAACCAGTGATGGAGGAGGATACCCAAAGAAGGTGCACATGGTCCAGAGTGGGAGAAGAGACCCTGCTTGTGTGTGTGGGTGTAAACAGGGAAGAGTCTATGTAGCAATCATGGAATGACAGAATAGTAGGGGTTGGCAGGGAATCTCTGCAGACTGTCAAGTCCAACCCAGCTGCTAAAGCAGGTTCTCTACAGTAGAAAATGCAGGAAAACATCCTGGCAGGTTCTGAATATCTCCAGAGGAGGAGCCTCTACAGCCTCTCTAGGCAGCCTGTTCCAGTGCTCCATCATGCCAAAGTAAAGAAGCTTTTCTTGACATTCACATGGAACTTCCAGTATTCCAGTATGTGTCCATACTGAAGTGGTGTTCTTGTCCTGTCACTGCACCCCAGTGAAAAGAGCTTGACTCCATTCACCTGATTCCCATCTTTTAGATGTTTATAGATGTTGATAAGATCACCTCTCAGACTTCTCTTTGCCATAATGAACAGTCTGAGATCTCTCAGCCTTTCCTCATATGAAAGATGCTCCAGGCCCTTAATCATCTTTGTCACCCTCTGCTGGATTCCTTCTAGGAGACTCCTGTCTTTTTTGAACTGGGGAAGCGAGAACTAGACACTACTCCAGATGTGGCCTCATCAGGGCAAAGTAGAGAGGGAGGATCACCTCTCTTGACCTGCTGGCCACGCTCTTTTTAATGTAGCCTGGGATACCACTGGCCTTCTTGGCTACAAGGGCACCCTGCTGGCTCGTGGCCAACCCGTTGGCCACTGATGAAATAACAGGGAGCAGAAAGCTCAGGAAGAAAGACAAAAAGAAAAAGCTGAGAGCGCAGGTAGGCATCTCCAGAATAAACTGCCTCAACTCTGTGCTCAGAGCAGTCAGAGAAATCAGTCACCTACAAAAGTATTTCTTTCCAATGGCCTCAGGGCACCACCAGCAGGGGAAGGGAAACTGCCAGGGGGAATGACACCTGAGGAGGGGATGCTTGTATGTATGCAGGGCAGGATGCTGCCTGAAAACAATTCCATCGACTCGGATTCCCATCTCAATTCCGTTAGATTTCCAGTCACGCCCTGGATCTGCAGACTGCCATCAACACCTGCTCTCCTGCAGTGCCTGGTGCTCCAGAAACCCCAGGTTGCCCGTTGCGAGTCCAGGGATGCGCAGCTTTCCCAGAGCCAGGCATTTTACATTGTTTGTAGTCTGCATTTTGGTGTCATTACTCAGTGGTACAAGAGTGCGTGCATGCGTGTTGGGGGGGGAATAATTGTGCCATTAATGATTGCTATTTTGATTACAGGATGCAATTGTCACTGCGGTTGGAAGCCAATCAACGCGTTGTGAGTGGGAACCTGCTGGTACTTTCCAATGGTCCTTGATTAAAAAGGAAGCTCTTGGCTATCTTCAAGCAGCAGGAGAGGAAACAGCGCGGCGAAGGTGAGGCAAGTGCCAGACTCTCTCCTCCGATGGATCACAGCTCATTTTCACCCCCGTTTAGTCACACAATCTGCTTTTTTTTTTCTCTGCTTGGAGGCCTCCTTTACCCTTTGCTTCCTACTGGTCAATGTCTAGAATAGCTTACGCTCTTCAGTGATGAATTCTGAGTGATCAGCCGTGTGCTCTGCTATATTTTCCTGCAAATTAAATACCTGTGTGCCTTCACAAGGCACCTGCAGGTTATGCAGGCTGTTGCTGGCCTTTCCACACCCTCCATCTCTTTGCAGTTGCAGAAGTGTGCAACTGGAACCCAGAGCAAAGCAAGTGACAGTGTACAGGCACCTTGTTCAGTGTAGCAATAGGGCATTTTAATTAAAGTGACAGCTGAAGATGAAAATATATAGTTTTTCTCCCCAGATTTCAGATGTACGGATTTTCAAGTAGTGGAATTCCTTCTAGGAAATTTCCCAGCGTCACATATGTCTTTTTATTATTATTTTTTTCTCTCAAGAATGGAAGTCAGGCCGTGCTTTAGTAACAGTGCAGACGTATACTGCTGTGTTTAATAACTTTGGTCTGTCTCAAGGTATAGGAAACTCAGGAATGAAAAAGAAAATCTTGAGTTCTTCCTGGGGTTTCACAAGCAGGAAACATTTTCTGATCGATGCTGTTGGGATGTTTGGGATGTTTCCCTTTGCAATCCAAAGTGAACACCAGATAGGCTTATGGGGATGCAGGGTAAAGCTTAAAGCTTTACTTAAAGCTCTTCCCTTTAAGTGGATATATAGAGTAGTGTTATCAGTATTGTAGAAATCACTGTTATTTCTAATGTACGTTTGTAGATCAACACTGATATCTTGCTCCTAACAATTCCTAGCAGAGAGGTTGGCTCTCACCCCAGCCCACAGTGAGGATTTCAATTATCTGGTGGGAAACACATGGCCTCTGGTACCTGGAGTGCTCTTGTCTGACTTGAGAGTTATCTGATCTTCTGTTTTGCTACAGTTAAATGAAAGTGGAGATGTATTTGGAATTTAAAGGTGTATGTTCCTACATAACCTGTGTTAGCCATTAATATGGAATTGAATCTGCTGCATAAAAAGGGCCCTGTCAGCCCATAGCCTTGTGCTGCCATGTGCTTGTTACATGATATTCAGCCCCACAAAAAAACAACATCAGAATGTAAACAAACTTCCACAGTCACTCAGGCACACTGCAAGCATCTGTGTCCTATGCTTTTAGAATCAGTCCCACACCAGTAAAGGGGTCTAAAAGCCTTATTATGCTCTTTTCCCCTTATAAACCCTGCTAATGCATCCTTCTTTTTAGCTCGTTAAATGTGGGATAAGGCTGAAAGGTAAACACTCAGATGCAATTGTCATAGCAGAAATAATTAAAAAAAAACAAAACAAACAAACAAACAAAAAAAAACCAACTTGAAAGATCTCTTAATATCAGAAATAATTACACGTCTCCAGTACCAGGTCTCAGGCTGTTTTCTATACCCTTTCATTACCCAAGCAGTGTGACAAAGCAACCCACACACTCCTAAATAACTCCAGAAGAAAGAAAAGCCTCTTATGGGATGAAGTGGATAGCTAGGATGCATAATGATGGTATCTTTGTTCATTAAGTGACAGCCATCAGGGTGGTGGGTTTCAGCAGATAGCAGACAATTTGAAACTTTGAAGACCTGGCCTGAGTTTGATCAGTTTGGCTGTACCGAGGGGGTGGCAGGAAGGAAGGAATGACGTGGCTGTGTACAGATTCAGTGCAAGGACTAACCCAGCCTCAGAGAATGTCAAGTGCTTCTTGTCTTTGGTATCCGAGCAGCTGATTCTGATCTGCAATTAATGGCTGAGAAAGAGAGCATGTCACTGCTTCACTGGTAGTTATCTTCTGTGGATGATCTATTCTGGGAATTGAAGCCCAAACCCAAGTGCTGCAGAACAGAACGTCTTTGGCTTCAGAACCCTTTGAATAGGGGAGGGTGTTTTCTAGATGCCTCTCAAAGCCCAGCACCATTCCCTAAACTCCTAATGCTCTTACAGGATCAGGAAAGGGTAGAGCTAGTACTGAAACAGATAGGGCACATGTCAGGCTCATGGCTACACTGCCTGGACTCTCTCCTTCATCTTCTTTTCTTTATTCCCCTGCTTCTCTATGGGCAACCTTCCCCAGTCTGGTGTGGTTCGACCTTACCACAGTGTCATCCTTTCAGTTAAGAGCAACTATAGCTCACACCAACAGCTCTACTAAAATGAAGATAGATATATAGATAATCAAATAGGCAATCTTATTGAAGTAGTGCTCTTAACCATTCTTTGCAGCCAAACTTAGGTTAACAGGGTAGGAATCTACAAGAAAACAGGTAATTTTAAATTGATTTTTTCCCCGTTTTCTGGATTTCAGTACTTTCTAAACTTGATGCGTAGTGACAATGATACGCAATAGCAGCTTATCTCAATGAATCTTCTTCCAATATGTTCTTGGTTTCAGCCCCCAAAGTATCCTGTGACAATGAGGTGCCTTGCTTATTTAATTTGTGCTAAACTTCTTTGTTTGTTTTGATCCTGTTGCCAACACGTTTCACTAAGTACTTCCCTGCTGTCATGTTTTAAGAAACTGTAAATAATCACTCCTTGTTCACCTCCACATAATTGATGATTTTACAGGTTTATCTCACCTTTTACTCTTCTTCATCTGCCCCAGCTGGATAATCCTTGTCTAATTCACCTAGAATACCAAATTTCCAGAACCTATGAAGTCATAAAAAATTTCTCCTACCATTTTTATCATGCAGTGTCATGGGAGCCTTTTACACTTTTTTTAAAGTGAACTTCAGTTTTATTATTGTAAATCTTTTTCTGTCATCAGCAGTTTGCCTTATTATTGTTCTCCCCCATTCTGATGTTACGTATCACCGCTGAATAAAACAAACCCCAGCAGACATCATTTTAAGACCTCACTGGTGACCAGTGAAAGCTATCCTTACCCTTTGTTTTTTATTGTATTGTCAGCCATTAATCTACAAACAGAGCAGTTCTATGCCAGGGTGGTCTCGCTGCTTTAAGACTCCTGGTGAGCAATGAAATCTTTTTTTGAAATCCAGCCACACTACATTGACAAATCCTTTCTAGGTCATAAACATTCTCAATGAACTCCAGTAGATTTCTGATCACAACTAGACTCAACAAAAGCTATGTTGACTCATTCCATTTATTCAGATACCTGCCTATTTTTTTCTATATTATCTTTCCATAAATTTTCCAGTACAGACAATTACTTCCCTACTAAAAGAGAATGAAAAAGGATAGCCACCATCCTTTAAATGTAAGATGAGTGATGTTCTCAGGAAAGCACATCTCAAATAAATACGCCCTGTTTTTCTGTTTGCCATTCCTGTCTTTCAAGGACCAGGAAGTAGAAGGAGCAGCCAGGACTTTGGTACAAGCAGAAATACAGGCAGCAATACAGTTACTTATGCTGGCATCATGGAGGTAGAGGTAGGGGAAAAGATATTTTGAAAAGTAGGATGAAATTTCACGGCCAAATGACTTGGATCTTTGTGGGCTGAAATCCTTTCGAAGATTCTCTGTATGGTGTTTTGGTGGAGGAGATAGTAGTAAAAAGACAGTGAAGTCAAATTTCCTCTGTGAAAATGCTTTTCTAACTTTTAATTTTTCGCTAACATTTAACTTTTCTGTTGGAGGATATTTATTTCCTGGGTTTAGTTTGCCACCTGCAGACAAAGTGTAAACGAGAGAGCTTTAGCACATAGCCATATGTGATGGATATTTATAGTTGACACATGTTTTGCAAGGAGAATGGTTATTGAACTTGAGTTTTATTTTTAACATTTTACCCAGAAATCCAACCTAACAATGAACGCTGAGAGCCTGAGCTCCTGTAACTGTGGCTGAGTAAACCTGTGATGTTTTAACAGGACAGGAGGAAGCATACCTCTGTTGCAAAATGTAGATCTGACTGATGTCCGTGGCTGCAGCAGTAAATATTCTCGGGTAGAGCATGTCAGATTGTTTACTTCAGTTATGTAAGAGAATGCACACAAACAACAACTCTCTGACAGCCCACAGACTTGCACCCAAAAGCAGTATCTGCGACAACACCGGTGTTGCAGAAGTAATAATAAATCACAAGCTCAGACGGATCATCTGGAGCAGGTTCCTTTTAAGCTACAGCCTGTCCTGCTGCTATTAAAGTCAGTGACCATTCCATGCTCTGTCTTCTTGTCACTGATGCAGAAAATGGACTTTCTCAGCCTTCAGAGGCAACCTGAACCAATCCACGCTACTAGGCACGTTTTCAGAACTGTGTTTTACTCAGCCTGGATGGCTGATACACTGCCTTGAAAATGAGGGCTGTGCAATGCTGGCAGCGAGTGCTGCTGCAGCACCTCCTGCAACAGATTCCTCTAGCAAAGAAAGTTCATTTGGGAAGGACAAAGAATACCAAATCAAGCAACCTGCAGCACCCAGGTGCTCCATTTGTGGGGAAGTAGATATCTATTTTTTAACTTGGATATTAATGGCCTATTACAATTAAACTCATGTAAGTGGTTATGCTTGGAGCACAACCACAGAATTACTGCATGACTGAAGATACCTAGAATTTCTCATTGAACAGAGGCAGTGTTTCTCCCTGTCACATATGAACATGCTTTGCCTGCATAAAGAGGGATGTTGGGCACAATATGGGAAAGCTTGTAAAAGAATGGAGAGGGGAAAAAAAAAAAAAAAAAGGAAAGACACAGACTTGTTTATAGGTGGTGTCAGGAAAAGAAATAACCTCCACAACAGTGCCTGGGCCTCCAGGGCTGTGGGGGTGGCACTTTCCACCTGCATGAAATTTACTGGAAACATAAAATCCAACAAGGAGAAATGTATCATTTGTGCTGATAGTGAACTACAGAAATTCTGCCTTGGAGAAATTACCTCCCATCACTCGTTTCCTCCTCATGCAGGATCACTTCTACTCTTTCCCATCCAGAAAGGCCAGTTAATCAGGGTCTGTACCTGCATGGCCATGTTCTCCTCTTGGATTACCATAGATGGACAATCTCAGGTAAGGTCTGGCCAGGATGCCAGGTTCATTTCATCTCCTGTGCAGAAGGACATGATTTTGAGATAGACTCAAAGGGGGCTGTTAAAATATCCACAATAGTAATAGTTAGTCATTAAGAGTCCTTCTGAATGTCTTCATGGCTCCTCTTTAGACTTACTTTGTATTACACTAAGGGTTTGTTAAATTATATTCCTGGGTGGTAGCTTTTTGTATTTTCCCAGGAAGCCGCTGCTTTGATCATTTTCTGAGATAAGCCACTAGGTTAAATGGTCACTGGCTTTTCTTCGTGCTGGCAATTTTAATGTTAGTCAGAAAGATGTGATTTACCAATGGGAGACAGAGCGATGGTAACACTGCTCCACAGCTGTCCTGTCCCAGCCTGACTTCCAGCATTACTGAAAGGAACCTGAGAACAAACGAGCTGTGCTGCTCTGCCCTGTGCCTCCCAGCAAAGGCTGCAATCCAGCTCTGTTTTCCATTCTTTTTTCTGTCTTTGAAGACAAAAGGAAAGTAAGGGTGAAAGAGGAAAGCAGACAGCCACCAGAAAAGAAATCTTACATTAATGCAGAAAAGAGAAAAAATCTCTGTTCTGGAGAGATGCATATGTGGCTGTATAAATTCCTTCTTGCGCTACATTTGAAGGCTCAGTCAGTGCTATGGGCAGCAGGAAAACTCCCTCTCCCATGTCCTCTCACTTCAATTTCCATTCTGCTTCCTGGCTTTTATTTGTCATTGGCCATTCATAAATTGCCCCACTGTCTTATTCCTGAGGCTCCACAGTGAGAACTTTCCTGACTCATGCAGTAAGAAGGGCGTTGGTCTTTTTTCTGGGGTGACAAACAAGAAGATGTAAACAGATGCTCTCAAGTTCCACCAGTAGAGGTTTAGATTGGATACGGGGAAGAATTTCTTCACATAGAGGGTCGTCAGGCTTTGAAAGGAGCTGAACAGAGTAGGGGTGAAGTCCCCATCCAAGGAGGTACTAAAGAGATGTATGGATGTGGCACTAAGGAACATGACTCAGTGATGTGACTCAGATGCTCAGTAATTGGTGCTTTGTCTTGAAAGTATTTTCCAACCCAGATGCTTCTGTCATTTGAGTGCACTCTTGAACCAGCTCTTGAACAAAGATGGTCTTTCAGCAGCAAGTCTTTTTTGTCTTTGTTTCAAGATTTGCATTTTGGGGAGCAGCTTGGACCTGCAACTGCTGCTGTTGAAAGTATGCAGCAGGAAGAGAGGGCTTGTCCTTCTTGAGGCTACACCACAGAGGCAGCCTTGGGCAGCCTCAGCACAAATGATGCTCAGCTGTCAGCACAGAATGTGGTGGAGAGAGTAAACAGGTGATTCTTCATGCACAGCAAGAACCAAATAAATATTTTTGTGACTGCGAGGCTGCTCTGATTGGGCTGAGGACTTTTTGGGCCCTCGTGTTATCTTGAAAGGGTATGTATGCATAGAAGCATAGAATCATAGAAGCTTTAAGGTTGGAAAAGATGTGTAAGATCATCTAGTCCAACCCATCCCCACCATGCCCACTAACCATGGTCCTCCATGGTTCTTGAATAACTCCATGGACGGTAGCTGCACTGCCTCCCTGAGCAGCCTGAGCCAATGCCTCCCCATCACTCTTTCAGAGAAGAAATTTTTTCAACTTAGATATCAATTTAAGTAAAATTTTATGATCTTTCTGTGCATTTTCACAACTTGTTGTGGGGAGAAATAAGAATATGGTTAGAAATGTTTTTTAATTGAAAAATGGGATGTTTCTGATTGCTGTTATCTCCTGCCATCCCTCCCATTAGCCAAAGACTCAAACAGAAATTGACTGTCAGGGCAATAGATTGTTTTTCTTCCCTTCAGCACAACTATTTTCTATTTAATTCTCTCTCCAGTATTTGTAATTTATTTTGGACATTTCTTCATCTTCCATTCCTATCCTGAAAATGCTAAAAGTTTTAACAGTAGCCCTGGAGGAGGAGAGCTTTGTGATGCAGATGAGATTCTGGTATCTGAGCTGCACTGAGTTCCTGGTGATGCAGGTTTCCCTGGGGGAGCTGCGTGCAACTGTACAGCCTGCAGAGGTTCCTGGGCTGGTGACTTGGGGGGACAGTGTGGGGACACGTGCATCTTATGCAACATGTTGCTCACGAGCACGGCTGCTCAGTGCGTCGTTACGTCCCTGCACCTCCATTTAACCTCTGTATAAACAAACCAAAAATCTCTTTTCTGTCCTTTTCTGTGTTTGTCCTCCACCTCCGATCTGCAGTTCTGCGGTGAACAGACACTGTCATACTGGGACAGATCTGCATCTGTGCATGTGAGTGTGTGTGTTTAACAGATTAAGTTAAAAACAATCTTTATCGCTTCATTTAACTAAAGCATTTTTCCAGACAAGTTCCTCTGCTCGAATGTTCCTTCTAATTATCATTTTCCCTTTACAATATGTTGTGTCATGCTGCTTAGGAGAAAGCTCATAGTGAGAGCGAGTGCTGGGGCTGCACAGGAAATATGTCCTGGCTATTAGGAAGTTCAGTGAAGCACTGATTTTTATATCACCGCGTAGGGATGGGTGAAACAGTCCAGAAAAAAATGCCCCCAGCTGAGCAGCAATGCGGGGCTTAAAAATCTCGCTTTCCCTATGCTTTTTTAAGGTTTCTCCATCGGTTGCAGGATGATTTTTTTTCCCTTTAAGTGTTTTTATCCAAACTGACTGGCGGCAGAAGTGGAGGCTGCGTTTGCTTGGAGCTGCAGCCCCCGCCAGGCTGAGTGCTCTGAGCACATTGATCTGCCCCAGGCTGTGCCTTGCTTGGAGGGAATGAACTGGAGTCGCATTCATTTGTTTTTATCCCAATTCCATGAGTTGTTTGCAGCTGTTAATTTAACAGTTTAGTGCTTCCATCTTCCATGGGCAGGAGCGATTGCTTCGGTGCCTCAGACATTGAAACTTCATTTCCAATAACAGGATTTGGAGGACTGGGAGAAGGCAGCAAAATGCTTCTGCTCCGGCGATCAGGGACGACGTGGTGGCCACAGATGTCAGTTGAGAGTTGTTTTATAAAATGAATCTCTGTAAGCTGCTGCTCTACGGGGATGGAACAAGAACAGAAGAGCCGTGAATTCAAGGCCATCTTGGGATGATTTTTCTAGGACATGGAGTCTCTGCAGTGCCAAGGGACCTCGATTAGCCCGAACAGCTAAAGCATTCCATCTAACGAGTCTCTGCTCTAATGCAGGCATAAGAATTCAGGACATTTATCTGTAGGAATTCATCAAGCTGAACCTGGAACTATTGCTTCAGCAGTAGCTACACAAAACTGAGAAAAGAAGGAAGCTGCTATACGCCATCTACTTATGGAAGAAAACATCCTTTGATTCTACATCTTCTGAAGGAGTGATAAACTTTAAAATCATGAAGCTACATTCAGAAGTTCTTACGCCAAGACTGCATGTGTGCTAGTACCACTGAAATCAGTAGGAGTCATTTCAGTGTTTCAAAATCAGCTTTTATTCAAAATCAGGATTTTTTTCCCCTCTTCCTTTAAGGAAAAAAAAAAAATTTTTTGTTTTCCAACCCATGTGTTAACTTGTCAGATCAGTTGTCAGGCTGCGGTAGAAGCTGAAAGCTTAATCATTGTGCTTTTTATTTTTATTTAGAATTGTATTTACTTATTCTTTGTTTCGCCGACTCTGTTATCTTAGAAAGAGGAATTCATCTTCCAGCAGGGTTAGAAACTTCTCTTCTAAAGTCAAATTTGCCATTGCAAACACCTACACTTACCATGGGAAATTCTCCCTTACTGCACATCTGCTATGCTGCTCTGTCACCCTCTGGCTCTGTTTTGAATTCTAGTACCACTAAAAAAAAAAAAAGATTTTATCTAAGATTTCAATGTTAGTCATGACATTGTGTTTTGCTTCAATACTAAGCCGTTCTATGGCACTTAAACAATATTTCATGCAGTGAATCGTTGTCAGCATCAGCAATCAAAGAACAGGAGTTGTTGGAAAGATTGCCATTTGTGTTGGATACCATTCGAGGTCGTCCACACAGCACTAGAAATCTTGCTATCCTTTCTAGGGCGCTTCGTAGGGCATTTGTACCACACAACTTCAGGTATCTCATTTATTCAATTAATGTAGGAACCTGATCTCTAGTTCCCTCTATAATCAATGGGTAATAGGGAGAGCTCCTCTATGGTGTGACTTGGAGCAGCTAAATGAGGTTCCTGTTTGAAATGCTGCTTTATAGCAGGCTGAGTTTCTCTTTTAATTACAGAGAAAGTCAAATTAGACTAGTTTAGTCATCTAAAAATGGGCCGTGTGAATTCCTGCTTTCATATACTTACCTCTAGCATCTAAATGAGAAGACTCCAGTCAAGTCCTCCTTCCATAATATATGCCACCTTCCTCTGCAGCTCGCTACGCCAGGCACAAGCATGAGAGGATCCAAGACTTTTAGCAGAAGTAACTTTGTCGTTCCCACTCAATGCCCACACTTAACACAGAGCTGGAAGTCCTGAATTTTCACCAGTTCAACCAGCCCAGTTCTTGTCCTGCACTACACTGGAAAGTGCCAGTGCAACCCACCTCTGTGTTCTGCTGGAGCTCAACAAGCACCCCACGAACCACAGCTCCTGGCTTTATCCAAGGTTTCTGTGCTTGTGTGCGTATGATGATTTCAAAGCTATTCATGAAGGAGCTTGGATGCCCTTCTCAGAGTCACTGGAATATATAGTTTTGTCCTCTTGGACATCGCTGCCAGGGTTGTTTAGGATCTCAGTGGTAAGAATGTTGTTTTTTTTCCTCTGATGTACTTGGTGTATCTCTGTGCTTTCAGTATTGGTGTTATTTATTGGCAATGATTTCCACTTCTATAATTCTCCTTTGAATGGTCATTTGCTTTGCTGGCCAACATTTAAGACGTGAGATCAGTGATTTTTCTCGTGGCCCATAAAATACGAAGAACCTGCACTAATGCCATTTTTTACTTTATTTCTTCCTGATGGAAATCCATATCTGGAAAAGGTGGGCAGACTCAGAATTCATTGGCAGGCGCTGGGGAACTTACGTGGTATGAAATCAAGCTGTAAAATATTTTTATTAGTAGGTGTGCACATTTTCAAAGAATCCTTGTGATCAGCAGAGTCTTCCAGGTTAGGTAAATAATCCCAAAATGTACAAATAAAGTAATTTTATGGATATTTTAGGTTGCCTGGTTAGACAGCTACAGTTATTATATGAGCTGTTACACCCAATGGGAATTTTTCTATGACTATATTGATTTAGCTTATCTTGCTGCACTGGAGTATTTATAATGTTTTGCAGATACTCAGATGCAGTGGAATTCAAGCATGAAACTAAACAGCTTCTCAGATATTATCTATTCAGCCATCTGCTTGACAGACAATGGATAACCTTCCAGATTCATGGAGCTGCATCTGCCTTTTAATCCTGGTAAGCAGTAAGTAGTAAGTGTGGGCTTTCTGAAGTGGGGAACCTCGAGGTCAAAGGAACATCCACACTCATGGTAAAAAGTGCAGTTTACAAAATATTCCTAGAAAGGGAATTCAAATCACAGCCTTTTGCATTGTAAACCAGACTTTAAGGCATGCATGTCCAACCCATGGCCCAGCACAGCTCACAGTGCAGCCTGCCCCTTGGCAGCAGCTCTGCCCAGCCCTGCGTATGCTCCCATTGCTCACTGAGACCAAACATAGGTGTGTGATCAGCTGTCTGGGCTGAAACCAGGACAGGGGGAGTGCACAGGGCAATGCTAACTCAAATTATGGCAAATCATTGTATGCATTTGGATATGTTGCCTAAACACAGCCCTGTGGACATGACAAATACGCAGCCTTACTTTCTGTTTCAGTACAGGAATTTGAGAGTAGTTTTCAAGATTGGGAAAAAAAAAATTGATTTATGTTTGTGATTCCATTTTCAGTCAGCATGAATACATTACCTGCAAATTTTCAAATGGAATATATAGAATTGCAGATATTCAACTACAACATTTGATCATGTTCCTTTACCAGACCTTAATAAGCCCTCTGTTAGCAGAGAAAGATATCCCTCGCTTCACAATCATGCCTTATTCATGTCATCACTTTTTGTCAGTATGTACATTTGTGTACAACTGTTCTCAAAGATGAAGCACATCTTTGTAAAATTCCATCAAAAAACCACTGATGAACACCTTGAGAGCTCACTGAGAATGGCAACCACTGCCACTGAGCCAGGCTGATGTATCCACACAAATGAGGTCAAACAGCCTATTAGTTTTATGTTTTTGTTTTTTTTTCTTTTCCCTTTTTAATGTTTTAATAAAAATATTAAATATTGAAATGTCTTGTTACTTATATATTAACTGTAGTATATATTTTCTGAGAGAGGCTCTGAAAATAATGCCTCCTATTTTATTACTTTGACCCATAACATCAGAGGTGGATGTTGGTGGGGTGACAGTAGAGGCTGAACCTTTCCATCAATATTTCATTCCATTTTGCTGCCGTGTGACAGAGGGGTCAGTCTGACAGAATGGTATCTGATACTGAAATGTGGATGAAGCAACGGGGTAGAACTGAATTCCTCCTTGTGGAAAAAATATCACCCACTGACATTCATTGGCTCTTGCTGAATGATTATGGAGACCAAAGAGTGGATGTGAGCACAGTGAGTCACTGAATGGTGCTTTTCAGCAGGGGCGGCAATGAGTCACCTCTGCTGGTGCAGATTTTTATGATCACAATATGCAGGCTCATGTTCATATACAGCAAAAATGCACAGCAAATGGTGGTGATGATGTTTACTAGCTGAGAATTTGCACTATCAAATACTGTTATCGTGCTCTTTGCATCAGTTGTAGTTTCCATAGAAATAAACAGAAGACATTACTTTTGGAGCAACCAACGTATATGTGGCCCAAAACCATTCCTCTTCACTCACTACAGCCCAGGCAAGCCAAAAGGTTGTCTTCTGCTCATCTAGTAGAAACTGCAAGGACTTCAGCTGATCTTCACCTCCTACTGGAGTGAGCATTGAGCATCCTCAGGAAACTGCTCAATGGCAACTTGCTAAGAGAGAATCGTTTACTGAGGTTATCCAGCATGTAATTTAAATAGCGAGTACAACAAAATCACCATCTGCCTGTGGAGAGCAGAACAAGAAGCCAAAGTCACAGAGCAGATTATTCATCCAGCTCTGCTGGGATTTCTGGATGGGGACCTGCTCATGATAGGCTTTTATTTAGAGCATCTAATCTTTTGTTTCTATGAATGCCAAATTTGCCCACGAGTACTTTAGCAGATTGCAAAGAACTAAAACTGTGCTTTTAAACTAACCAGTGTATTCACATGCATTCAGGTTATTGGTGAGAATTTTTAATTTATGGGCTGTAGAAAAAATATATTCTAATATCAGTGCCATTTGCTGTTCTGTTGTTACAAACTGTACCTGGTGCAGAAATGGCAAAAGACAGATATGCCAACTTGGCAATTGTAAATTTAACAACTGATTTCTTAAGTTAAGTGTTAAAATGTCGTTCCTTGATGGGGAAAAAAAAAAAAATAAAATCCAAACCCAAGAGCTGCATTAAAAAAAAATGAAAGCTACACCTGCAGAAATTACCAAGGTGGCACAGAGAATGCCTTCAACATGCGGATACCATAGGAGCAGCTACATCAGTGCTGGAGTAGGAAAGCTAGGCAGGACTGAAGTCAGTAAGTATGGATGCTTTCACTATTGAGGTGTGCCCTGCAGACTGTAAATTGAGTTAAACAGCTGTGGGCAGATTGAGCAATAGGTATATGCTAACAAGTATAGATGGAATGCTGTAAAACCAAGTGTTTGGGTGCCATTTCATAATCAGTGTAAAGACAGGTCTGCACCTTCTGCCTTTGTGCCAGTGTCATAATTCATTTGCTGGGTGGGATGGTCCCCATCCCCTTTCCAGTACTGATTTTGACTTCATGATTTATTCAGGTGGTGAAATTGTGTGTTTTACTTTGTCTACAAATTAGTTCTGACCCAAAGCCTGGAAACATCAGTAGAATAGAAACATCCTTGTTTGAGTGAATTTTGAATTGAAGTTTGTAAGTAATTTGATTCAAATGACCAGACTTTGTGAGTACACCCATGATTCAATTCTATCCAAGCCTGGGTTTGGCATCAAGTGATGAGACTCCTGAAAAGAACATTCTGAGTCCTTTTAATGCATCTTTTGGTATTATAATCTGAGCATTCTCATGCCATTTTCTCTGGGTCCAGCTTGCAGTTTAGATTGTTCTTATGCAAGAATAGTGACTCTCATATAAATCACAAGACTGCAGAAGCTGGGCTTTGGGGAAAAATTCAGAATTTTCACTGCTAAGGCAAAGCAAATATACATTTGATAGTAATAGGCTGTAATCGGAAATGCTGTGTCTACCACGAGCCAGTCTCAAAATTATTTTGACTTGAAATACCTTCTCTGAATAGGTAAAAAAGGGAAAAGGTTACATTGTGATATCATCAGGAGCAATATTGGACAACCTAGGACCTCCTACGTTTGGCCTATGACTGTAAGTAACCATTATTTGTATCACTGCTATCATATAATCCATGTTTGTGTGGCTGTTCTATTGTTGTCATTGCAAAATAAAAATGAAATAAAGGTTTAATAGTGTCTTCTGGTATGGAGGCCATATTATATTACTTATGGATTATGCTCATAATATTTTGCCTACGACAAAAATAAGATGACTGTTCAGAAGAAGCGTTAGGGTGTCAAAGATTTTCACATTTAGAGGAATGTTGTAATTTGGGGCAGCATAGACTGGGAATTCTTGGAAAAATAACAGACTGAATAAGACACACTGTCAGATTACCAGAAAATAAGGATGCATTTCTGGACTTGGGAAAAAGGAGGCTGCTTTCTTGATGTTAATATTAAAGAGTACGGAAAAAGCTCTAGTACTGATTTTTTTTTTTTTTCCCCTCATAACTTATTCAAATTCATCACAGTATGGTGATAAATGGAAAGGTAAAAATCCATCTGGGCAGCCAGGTGATCAACTTTAATGGCTATTTCATTTGATTATTAGTTCCAGCATTTAAACAAAAAAGAAACGTTTTTGCTCTGTCTGTTGTTTCCTTAATGGTAGTAGTGGTTCGTTTGGGTTTGGTTTGATTTTTCTTTTGTCGAATGGTGAGAAGAGGTTTCAAAGGTTGCATTTTACATTAAAAACTAAGATTTTTCATTTGTTTATCTAATCTTCTGTTCACTTCCTTTCATTGCCGTGAATTGGAAGGTGACAAATGACTTCGTGAAGGGATGAGAAAAAGCTTCCACAGTGACATTTAAATTGGAACCAAAGTTTGATGGCATGCAGATGATTTAAATACATGTCACCAATGCAAAGCTCTAACGGCAGATTTTAAAAATGCTTTTGCTTTCTTTATTGCCATTTTAACATGCATCTGGAGAGTGCTGTGATCCAATGGAGCCATTGTAAATAAGCTGCAATAGTTGTCTTTCCAAGCTTTTCCTTTACTTGCATTCCTCAGGTGAGCTGCGTTGTGGGGACTATAAATAATGATTATAAACTTAATGCTTACTATGCAGACAGAATCAGCAGTGATAAAGTCACCTGGCAGTAAGCACTCCTGACCTGTTTCTAGGTTTGCTATTCAGCAGAGGGTCCTAGCATGTCAAATTCCCATCATTCAGAACTCCGCATCAATAGCCAGCAAACACGTTCATCCTTTCTCTAAACATATGAAGGAGGCAGAGCCATCACTGGAAGCAGGGAAATCATCTTCTGCAGTCAGCATGTGCCTGATACACACACGCCCTTTGTTGTTTGCAGGAAGATCTCCATCCTCCTCCAACAAGAAGCACACTGCAATCCCTCCTAAATCCAGGTGTGTGCTTTCAGAATCCTCTCCTTTTATATATAGGAGTCAGCTGGGATTAAATTCAAAGCTGTAAGCGCCACTGAAAATTGGGGAAATGTGGGGCTCTACCTGATTGTGGTAGTTGTGCTGTTTGGTTTATCGGTGAAACAGAGCTTTTTTGGGGGG